GGCAACAGCGGAGCAGACAGTACAGAGCAGTAGGCAGAAGAATAACGGATCACGAGCCGGGTTCAGTAGCAGGAGGTCAGGCAATCAGGATCAGGCAGAGAATAGTCAGGACTAGCCAGGGGTCAGAGCAGGAGAAGACAGCAGTATCAGGAACAGGCTGGGTCGGCAACAAGGTAATCAGGAACACAGGATCAAACAGGAACACAGGTACAGGGAACAAGACCATAAGGCGACTTGGAGATGCACAGGGCTGGTTTAAATAGGGCTTCCTGTGCTCTCATTGGTACGGCTGCGATCGCTAGTGCGCATGCGTGGCCGCCGCCGCAATCGCCTAGGATTCAGTGCTCGCCAGCTAGGATGAGTCGGCAATCTGCGCATGCGCGCACCGCCGAGCGGCCGGGATCCCTGACCGTTATATCACTTACAAATAGATTAAATAGGACAGGACCTAGTACAGAGCCTTGGGGTACATCACTAGTGACTGGTCTCTGTTCTGATGAACCCCATTTACAACCACACTCTGGTATCTATCCTTTAGCCAGCTGTATATCCACTGAGCCACCCAAGGGTTAGGTCCTAGCTTGTACAACTTTATTGTATTAGATCATTATGTGGAGCTGTATCAAATGCTTTGCTGAAATCAAGATATGCAATGTCCACAGCACCACCCTGGTCCAAAACTTTGATTTAGTAAAAAAATTAAATCAGATTCTGACATGATCCGCACTCAGTAAAGCCATGCTGCTTTGGCTGCGGCAAGTCATGTGTTTTTATGCGATCGATGGTCCTTTCTATTTGAAGTGATTCCATTAATTTTATAACAGGCGTTAAACGAATTGGCCAGTAACTGCCAACTTCTACCTTCCTGCCCTTCATGTGGATAGGTACAATATTAGATGTCTGCCAGTCATGGAGAACTTCTTCTATTAGAAGAGATTGTTTAAAAAGATCCATAAAAATTCCAACAAGTATTTTTCGAAGTTCTCTTAAAACTCAGGGATGAATGCCATCGGGACCCATTGTTTTATTAAGGCAGAACTCCGGGCAAGAACTTCTTTACATGTACTTGTTGCAGATTTCCTACCTTCACTGAAAATGTCATCCATCTTCTGGTTCACTCAATAGTTGCTCTGAAATAGCCTATTTATTTTCAAATCAAACTGTTAATTTGCTTTGTTTTCCTGTTTGTAAGACCGGTAGCTGCTATTCCCCCAGCCACTGGTCTTAGCACATGGCTTCTGTAGTTCTTTCTCCAGGAAGCAGTGATGTAATTCAGCCCCACTTGCAGATACAATTGACATGTACAGGCCTAGTGTACCCACCCACATTCACTGCAATTCCCTGTGGATGATGGGCAATGTAGTTTCCTTTTACTGCAGAGAGAGAGGAGAGGATATATGTAATCTCTGCTGTTACACCTCCCCTTTGGCAGAGCAGAGGCTGTTATCTTTTGAATTACAGAGATGAGGTCCTGAAAATTCAATTAGACTTTTCTCCTAAATGGTAAGGATTGTAAACATTTTATTAACGATTTAGTGTTTTGTGTAGGGGGGGTGAACTAACCGGTGATTTTTTTTTTTTTTGCTGCCTATCCTGGAGTTATTCATTAAGCTTTAACTAAGCTAACTCCTCTGCTACCTCTATCTTTAGAAATCCTAAAAATTAACCTTCATTACTAGAACCAAGGTTTTTTTGCTTTAATTATATTTTAAATGCACTGAATAGTTAGTGGAAATTGGCAGAAGCAACAAAGGATCTCACAACAGTGTTTCTAGTTTAGACAGCACTTATGTCAAATAAATTATCTTTCTTTTCCTTGGTCACACACCAAGAATAGCCATAACAATAGATGGCTACTTACTTAACTAATTTTTCTAAACAACCCAAGCTTGGTGACAAAAAGCCTCTGTTATCACATCTGTGTTCCTTGTTCGATACAGTAGGATTAGCTTCTTATTGACCTGGAGGAAAAGTGCCAACTCAGCTGGTCAGAACCTTTCATCTGGTCTCTGAGGCTCACAACCAACTATCAGCAGCTGACCCTAACTACTGAGTTGGTATATTTAGGGCTGTCTTAATGAATTGGAACCCCATGTACACTGGGGGCCCCATGATAATTTTTCTTTACATCGTAATTGCCAACTGTCCTGGATTTTCTGGGACAGTCATGCAGTTAAATAAGCTGTCATGGGAAGGCCATGTCCTGGGCAGTGTCCCAGAATCTGTACTGTGCCCTCCTGATTCCCCCCCATCCTCATACTGTGCCCTTCTGCCTCCTCCCTCTATTGTGCCCTTTGTGTTAATTAGTCTCTGATTTATGCCATGTTTTCTTTTTGTTTAAAATGTATTTTACTAATGTAAATATAAGGTACTAATAAGTATATATTTTAATACTATCAACTATTTATACTTTAATTCTTGAGAGTAGATGTGTAAATTGGGGCAAGCTGGTAGTGGCCCCAGGGCATTACTTTGCCCAGGGGCCCATGATGCTTTTAAGATGGCCCTGGGTATATTAGTTTCCCAAGCTCAACCTGTTGCTGAAGGAAAGAAAGTCGTTCAATTCCCCCATCAACACAGTCAGTGTTGATGGGGGAATCCCTCCCACTGTCCTATTGTATTCTGGAAGTGGGAGATTTCCCCGCCATCAGAATTTAATGTTCACTGCTGAAGGTTATAGCTGCTGGCAGTGATCACACAAAAAAAAAAACCCAAACCACCGGCTGGTTGGACTGATGTCAACTGGTTGACTTCAGTTCAACCAGCTTGCCCATATATCAGTCGAAATTCAAGCCAGTTCCTGCTGAACCAGCCAAATTTCGATCTGTTAAATTGTCTGAATTCTACTGATTTGGTTAGATTTTGCAAACAGGTTATTAGAGGATTAGTCTACCCAAATCCAATATTTTAATAATTGGTAGATGCTGAATGATTGAGTGACCATTAACTTCCTGAATGACTTTGGAAGCAAGAACCATATACTAGACTTGTAAAGTCCTCCCATCCACATTGTTAGGAGGGAAGTCTTGCAGCTGCATGTGGACTTTCTTTTATTGATATTATGGAGAATGCAGCAGGAGATTACAAAGATGAATGGAAGACTGGGAAACTCTATGGAAACCTCACAGATCAAGTCATGAAAGTACCCATCAGACCATGGGGATCTACCCATAGCTGAAGTGTCAATGTTTGAAAGTTAAACAAACAAGCAGAAAAAGGGCACACTTGCAATACAGTCATCCTTACATAAGCATTTGTGACTGAGTTAGGAATTTCAGAAGTCAAATCCGTGTAAAAAAATCTGCTTGTCTGTTTATCCATCCATCTCATCAGCCTGTTGATCTGTCCTATTCCACCAGTCTTCAAATGGTTACTTCTAGTGCCATGGCATTGCCACTAAATTTTTCATTTTACATTTAAGGTAAAAAATAGGTAGTATTGCCCCCTCACCCCCCCCTAATACTTACCTGAGGCCTCATTCGATCCAGCGCTGTGCCTGTCTGTAGCGGCTCTCTCTCTCTTCTCCCCACTCTCACAGGCTTGGCTGAGAGCAGCAAAAGCAATTGTGTCAGGGATCCCGGTGTCAGGGATCCCTGTCCTCGCCGCAGCAGACTGAGACTTAGACTCCCCGTCCTGGGAAATCCCGTACTGTGGACCACTAGAAATCCCATTGGGCGGAGCCTGACAAATTGTCTCCTGCTACTGTCAGTCAACTCCTGTGACGAGGGAGCAGGACCGGGCCATGATGTCTGTTTCTACATACACAGGCAGCGCAGCTCAGGATTGAATAATAAGCATGTTATATTTACCTGCTCTGTCCAATGCCATTGGACAGAGCAGGTAAATATAACATGCTTATTATTTTTTTTAAAGAAGACTTTACAATCACTTTAGCGTCAACTGACCTGACCTTAAATTTTTACCAAAAGCAGAGCAATACAAAGCAGCATGCTGATGCTCACAGGTGAGAGATCTGTTTTGTTTACATATAGACCTCTCCCCTGTCAGTGTTCCTCGGCGATCGCCCGGAGGCCTGGGCAGGGCATTGTGCCTTTTACCTGGAAATGCAAAATCACGTAAAAAGTTTTGCCTTTAGTTATACTTTAAGGCCCTCTTCTGCTGATACACCTTGCATCAGTGTCATTCATCCTGCTTCTGCCCTGCATCCTGTACCCCGCTGCCTTCTATCTGCTCCCCTTGTTCCTGATCACATTCCTGGTTCCCCTCTTCCTTACATAACTGGTATTCTCTTCAACCTGTGCTCCTCACCTTGTATATATTCTACATATTGCTGTTTGTACTTAGACTTCCTGTTGCTTAGGCATTTTGGTTATATGGTTGTAGTTCATTTGTATTTTTATGTTTGCTGGTGTGTGAATGTCTTTTGTTTACTGTTAATAAATTTACTTTACTATGTACTGTATAGTCCGGTCTCATTTTCCTTGTGTAGCTAAGCAGATCTGGCCTTCTCAGCTGTTGATTCCTGACACTAAACTTGTTTCCTTACCTCTTGTTTTCACTGTCATGGTGGCTTCCATAATTAAAACATATCAAAACTCCACAAACAAAAAGGTAATATTTGCTCCTTTATGCTCTTGTAAATATGTCATTTAAAGTGTTTCGTTATACTGTATTTATTTTAAAGGTTACAAAATACTGTATTTTTTGCTCCATAAGACGCACCTAGGTTTTAGAGGAGGAAAACAAGAAAAAAAATATTCTGAAGCAATGGACTGCAGACATAGTACAGGAGATGACCAGAGACTGCAGACATATAGTACAGGAGATGACCAGAGCCTGCGGACATACTACAGGAGATGAGCAGAGACTGCAAACATAGTACAGGAGATGAGCAGAGACTGCAGACATAGTACATGAGATGACCAGAGACTGCAGGCATAGTACAGGGGATGACCAGAGACTGCAGACATATAGTACAGGAGATGACCAGAGCCTGCGGACATACTACAGGAGATGAGCAGAGACTGCAAACATAGTACAGGAGATGAGCAGAGACTGCAGACATAGTACATGAGATGACCAGAGACTGCAGGCATAGTACAGGGGATGACCAGAGACTGCAGACATATAGTACAGGAGATGACCAGAGCCTGCGGACATACTACAGGAGATGACCAGAGACTGCAGACATAGTACAGTAGATGACCAGAGACTGCGGGCATAGTACAGGAGATGACTAGAGACTGCGGGCATAGCACAGGGGATGACCAGAGACTGCGGACATAGCACAGGGGATGACCAGAGACTGCGGGCATAGCACAGGGGATGACCAGAGACTGCGGGCATAGCACAGGGGATGACCAGAGACTGCGGACACAGCACAGGAGATGACCAGAGACTGCGGACACAGCACAGGAGATGACCAGAGACTGCGGACACAGCACAGGAGATGACCAGAGACTGCGGACACAGTACAGGAGATGACCAGAGACTGCGGACATAGTACAGAAGATGACCAGAGACTGCAGACCTTTGGGGAGTGGAAGGGGGGGCGGGTACCCAAGTTTGACAGGTACCCACTCCCACTTCCATGGAGTTGTCCTCCCTCCCCGTCTTCTGGGACACTGACAGGTCCCAGAAGACTGCCGGACCAGTCACAAAGCGCAGCTCTTCTCATGCATGCACAGTGGGCACCCGGCTGTCACAGCTGGGTGCCCACACTAAAGATACTGGTGCCAGGGAAAAAAGATGGTGAGGACACCACTGGACCGAGGCGCAGGTTCTGCTGCACAGAAGAGCAGAGCATCTGACTACAGGACAACACCTATCTATGTTATGAAGAATAGGAAAATAATTCCATAGTGCTAGCTTTTTTCTTTTGTACTGGTAAAATATGATGCGTGAGCATTGTCACCCTTGGAGAGGAAGTGTATTATTGGTAGTATCACCAAGTGAAAATAAAGGAAAAAGAGCCTGAAAAAAGAAAACTAAAGAAAACCACTTCATATAAGGACTGACAAACTGCAGTATATTACATTTTTGTTTTTGGGTTTGGACATATTTTAGAGCTGAACTCCATGCTAGCTAACTATATATTAAGGCCTATGAAGTACATGCCACTTTGTGGACTTATCTCTTTTATTGACTTCTGGCATATTAACTGAGCGCCAGGAGTTGAGCTATCGCCATACTCCCAGAGCTCTGGCAGAAGATACTCTTTTCACATATGACAGCTGCTATGCCAACCCCACCCCTCTGCTGTCCAACCCCACCCTTCTGCTCTGAAACTTGATCTGCTAACCCCAGGCATTTACTTGGCAAGTACTTATTTACCTAAACTTCTTTCTGTTATCTGTTTGCTGTGCTGTTGTGTTCTGTATATATATATATATATATATATATATATATATATATATATATATATATTATATATATATATATATATGTGTTACATCTTCTTTCTGTAAATATTTTTACTGCACCCTTTCGACCTTTTGGTAATAAATCTTACTTTCTAAAAGTGTTGAACTGTTTCTATAGCTCCTGAATGTAACTTACGAGTCCCTGCCGCTGAAGAACACTACTATGAGTATTTAATACAGTATTTCTGTATAACCGGTCTGTAGAGATAGCGGGATACTGACGGTTAACCAATCATCCTAGTGTATTGCTGAGTTTCCTCTTTCTCTGTATAAAAAGGAGGTGGTGGCAGTGTGAAGGGTTAATTGCGTAATTAACCTGAACCAGTAACAATCGCATTCAGGCTGCCGGTACGTCGATCGTTGCCCAATTAACTGGAACATCGGTGTGCAGGGTGCAGCTGGGTGTGGCATTGTTAGGCACGTGACAGCGCGGTTTTAGATTGGCTTGTCCTACGGTCACAAGTTTGGTGAGAAGGGCTGGGGTCTGATGCCACGTCCGTCACACCGTACTCCCGGTGCTCAGCACAAATGTAAGTTATAAATTAAATTAGGGAGGTGGCATGCACCTCGTTGGAGTTAACCCATTTTAAGCCAGCACATGTTAGAAAGTGGCTGAGTTCTTCGAATTCAGCTTCAAATGCCTTCTTTTTTATAATTTATGTATTATATATTTTATTAAATTTTATTGCAATACATAAATCAACCATATATAATTTATCCAAACACATACATTCCCAAAAAACAGCTTTAACCCCGTTACCACCCCCCCCCCCCCCGCTAATCCCTCCCCTCCCAATAAATTACCCCTGTCCAAGTAATTCTTACCATCTGTTTCCTTCCCTGTTTATCAACCTATATCTACAACCCTATTTTCTGTTATCTAGTGATTCAGTTTAATTCTCCAACTCTGTTTTAAATTACCAATTAATCCAATCCTTTCAAAATGTTTCCATTTTGTCTTCCTCCATATGGCGTAACTCTTTCATCCTATTTATATATTCGATCCTATCTATCCAGTCCCTCATTGTTGGAGGGTCCTGTACCTGCCAAAATGTAGGGATTAGACTTTTTGCCGCACTGATCAGATGGTATAATATACTATTTTATATTGTTTCACTGACATCTCTGACCCATAAAAAAAGGCACACTCACGGATCCTTCTGAATAGATGTCCCCAAAATATACTGTATATATTGAATTGTATCTTGCCAGAACACCTGTATTTTTGGACAATGCCACCATATATGTGCCATTGTTCTCCTTGCCCCACATCCCTTCCAACATAGTGGTGATATTTCTCCTCATTGTTTATGTGCCACACTCGGTTTACAATACCATCTGAATAAACATTTATAATTTATTTCAACTGTTTTCATATTCATCACCCCGTGCATTAACTTAAACATTTTAATCTTCTGTTGGTCATTTATTTTTTATTTATTTCAGGTATTTATATAGCGCCGTCAATTTACGCAGCGCTTTAGATATATATTATACAGTCACATCAGTCCCTAACCCTCGAGGGGTGTACAATCTAAGGTCCCTAATTTACATTCATACATACTAGGGCCAATTTAAACAGGATCCAATTAACCTACCAGCATGTCTTTGGAGTGTGGGAGGAAACCGGAGTACCCGGAGGAAACCCGCACAGAGAGAACATGCAAACTCCAGGCAGGTGGTGCTGTGGCTAAGATTTAAACCAACGACCCTAGTACTGCCAGGCTGAAGTGCTAACCATTTAGCCACTGTGCTGCCCCATTTTTGTACCCAATTCTCTTTCCCATTTGTCCAAGAATAATGGAGGTTCAGATCTCATCGGTTCAATTAGGTTCTTATAAATCCTAGAGGTTACATGTTTATATACTATCTTAGAACTCTCAACATTTTTTCAAATGGAAGCATGTCCTTCAGCATCCTCAGTGGTTGGGGGGAGCATTGAGACAAAATATCCTAATTGATAGTATCTCAATTCATCTAATGCAAAAAATAAATCTTTTTTACTCTTTAACGCTTGAAAAGTGCATAACTTCCCCTGATCTACTATATCCCTTAACTGTTCATTTCTATCTTTAAAACATTTTCCCTGAGATATTATCTCTCCCTGGAGGAAAAAAACTGTGTCCACCAGCGGCATCAATAATGAATTGTACTTCCAACCCATTGACTTATGCAAATCATCCCAAATTCTCAACACCTCCTGTGTCAATGTGCTACTATTTTCATCTATAACCTGAAACTTTCTTGTAATCCAAATTATCCTCTCAAATTGTGTATTACTTGATATACCTTCCATTTTAACCCAACATTTCTCTTGTGAATTATGTGTCCAATCTATCACCCGTGACAATAACACCAACATGTAATACTTCATATTTGGCAGATTTAATCCTCCTTTCTCTTTTTTATAACAAAGTTTCGTACTTAATTCTTGGTTTCTTATTAGCCCATATGAACCTCAGCATCAGTTTTCTTATTATCCTAACAAAAGATCTGGGTAAATATATTGGGAGCATTTGAAACTTATACCGGATTTTTGGGACTATTACCATCTTGACTAGATTGATACGTCCAATCCACGAGACCCACCCCACTGAGAGTCTTCTCAACTCATCTTTAATTTCATTTATTAGTGGGATATAATTAACTTGATAAACGTCCTTTATTGAGGAGGTTAACTTTATTCCCCATCCGAAAATACAGAATTTTTGAAGGGAAATAGTTCAACTTATTCAGAAAATCTGTGAGGTAAATTTTCAAAGAGATCCTTCGAAATGTTTATTCTACTACTTTGAGCCCCGCATTGGAAATACATAAAAATAAAGTTATTTATCACTTGATTAGTACGGCAAAGGGTCTGATTCCTAAGTTTTGGCAGGTGATTGAGGGACCAAAAATCGGGGATTGGATAGATAGAGTGGAGAGTATCTGGAGGATGGAGGAATTATGTTATATGGAAGATGGTAAAATGGGAAAATTTAGGAAAATATGGTGTAGTTGGATGAAATTTAAAACCTCCAAAATATACACAGAACTAATTGGAACAAGGGGGGAAATACAGAATATAGAATATAATATAGAAGTTAGAAATTTGCTACCTAATTTTATAAGATAAAGAGATACTGAGACAGAAGGGGAAAAAAGAAAAATTAGATGGAGAAGTGAGGAGGGGAGGGGGAGGGATGGGGGGGGAGGGAGAAGTAGGGTGCAATGGATAATACAGGTTTCATGTTATAATGTTATGTATATACATGTTTTTCTTTGTGTGATATCTTTTTTATAAAATAATCAAATAAAAATTTAAATTAAAAAAAAAAACCTTATTCCCAGGTACCCTAATTATTTTTCCCTCCATGTAAATAGAAAATCTTCTTGCAGGATCAACATCTCTGCCTTTTGACATGTTAATATTTAAGATCTTAGATTTTGAGGGGTTTATTTTGAGATTTGATAACTTTTCATAGTGTTTTAATAAATCACATTAAGTTAGGCAACATCAATCTAGGATTCACAATATAAAACAGCATATCATCTGCTTACGCTGCTACCTTATGTATTACTTCTATCTTAATTCCTGTAATATCTGTGCTCTTTCTTACCGACGCCAAAAGTGGTTCCAGGGATAATACAAATAGCAACGGGGATAATGGACATCTCTGTCTAGATCCATTATACATTCTAAAGGTCCCTGACAGGGACCCACTGACCTTAACTGCTGCTGAAGGGTCATTATAAACCCCTTTATCCACCTCACCATTTTTCCTACTGCCTCTAGCGTATTTATCATAAATCCTCAATCTACCCTATCGAAGGCTTTTTCTGCCTCAATTGATAGTATAAATTGTTGGCTGCCTTCCTCTTTTTGCTTTTTGTTAGAGGATCAGTGTTCTTAAACGATTATCTCTCCCTTCCATTCCTGGGATAAATACCACTTGATCTAAATGTATCCTCTCCGGCATCAGCTCTTTCAACCTGGAAGCTAGTACTTTCACGAATAGTTTAGTATCAGTATTTAATAGTGATATAGGTCTAGAACTGGCGCATTATGAACTATCTTTCCCCTCTTTAAGAATAATTGTTATATATGCATGCAGTGATTCCTCTGTCATTTTTGTTCCCTCTCCCAACGCATTCATATATCTACAGAGTCTAGGGACCGATACCTCTTTAATTTCTTATAATACCCCACTGTATGTCCATCAGGACTAGGGCTCTTTCCTCCTGCCATACTCTTCAGGGCTGCTCATCCTGGGAAATTACTTGTTCTAGGAATGCTAATTTATCTTCTGCAATTCTTGGTAAGTCTGCTGCCTTTAAGAATTCTTGTCTTTTCCTCCTCTTTTCTTCCTCTGTTGCTTTTTGATTTATAGGGTTCACCTCATAAAGCCTACTAT